CCTCTCTGCTATTTCTAAAGCCTCATTGGACAGCCACTTTGCTTTCTTGCATTTCCTTTTCTTTGGGATGGTTTTTGTTGCTGCCTCCTGTTCAATGTTACGAGCCTCTATCCAAAGTTCTTCAGGCACTCTGTCAACCAAATCGAATTCCTTGAATCTGTTCTTCACTTCCACTGTATATTCATAAAGGATTTGGTTCAGATTATTCTGCACTAACCCAATTGTTTTTCCTACTCTCTTCAGTTTAAGCTTGAATTTTTCTATGAGAAGCTGATGATCAGAGCCACAATCAGCTCCAGGTCTTGTTTTTGCTGACTGTATAGAGCTTCTCCATCTTTGGCTGCAGAGAATATAATCAATCTGATTTCGATATTGCCCATCTGGTGATTTCAATGTGTAGAGTCGCCTCTTGTGTTGTTGGAAAAGAGTGCTTGTGATGACCAGCTTGTTTTCTTGACAAAACTCTATTAGCCTTTGCCCTGCTTCGTTCTGAACTCCAAGGCCAAACTTCCCTGTTGTTCCTTTTATCTCTTGGCTCCCTACTTTAGCATTCCAGTCCCCTAGAATGAGAAGAACATCTTTCTTTGGTGTCAGTTCTAGAAGGTGTTTTAAGTCTTCATAGAATTGGTCAATTTCAGCCTTTTCAGCATGGGTGGTTGGTCTGCCTTGGATTCGTATTGAAATCATTCTATCATTTTTGAGAGTGTGTATTAGTACACTTCTTCCCACTGTTTTGTTGAGCAGCATTACCTGATCGCTATTTGCTTATAGTTATGTGCGTGAGAGAAAATAAAGCATAACATGCCGCTTTAGCCCAGGGCAAGGAGGAACTGAGTGGTGGTCCAAGTACTTCCTCCCACAAGCTTTCTGGAGTTGGATGCTCCCAAGGGGTATGTTTGTAGTCCCTAAAATCACCAGGTTTCGGGATGAAGCACTGGACAAAGGCTTTCCACTCAGTGCTTTGTTCAGGAACCAGGCTTTGCTCCTCTTCTCTCTTCCCTACATAACAAGGAAGTCAAGTCTGAGGGGAAAAAACAAGAGAGAGGTTTTCAAGAGCTCCTGCTGAGAACAAGAAAGGGCGTTTCTGTTATCTCCAGACCTGGATCCTGCCTGGCAAGTGGTAAGGCAAGGCAGATTAGGTCCATGCGGCTAAAGTTCCCCTTCCCTGTAATAAAATCTGTTTCAAGGGTCCCTCTGTATTCATTCTTAACTTTTATCAGGTACATATTTGAAAGGCCTTGCCTTGCTCAGTTGTGCAGGGGAAGTTTATTCCGTGCCCATTGTTATTTAGTCCTCCGAAGAATTTTCTCTTTCATGCTGCCACTGATTAGATTGTATGCTTTACAGCAGATTTCAGATGCTAAATGTGATTTCTGTTATCTCTTGCATCACTCCTTGCTTTAGGTGTTGTTTATGTCTTTAAAAAGTGGTTTACTGTATATCTTGCAATAAAAAAAAGGTATTCCAATACCTTGAAACAAATTAAAAAACAGGAATAAGGTTCTTGTATATCGAGTTCACCTTTCAATGCATCAAGAATTCATAGATCAATATGCTGACCTTACCCACAGGGCATCAAAGTAAAACTTGCCTCTGAACAAGTGGATTTGATTCACAGAAGTTCACAGTGAAACAGACCCGTTTACTCTTTAGAATGCTACAATATTATGTCTTCTTTTCCCCTTTTACTTTTTCCAATAAAATAGAATCTAAATATCACAACTCTGCTAAGGTTCCTTGATGATGGCCTCTGCTCAGAAAAATGCACACATAATTGTGTTGATAATCACCAGGATGGCCCTTGACGGAAGGAATTTTCTGCCGGATGTCCCAAATCAACCCCTTTCACCCCGCCCCCCCCCTACTATGGCTCTGCATGCTACATGTCCAGACTGCAACTCCCAGAAACCCATGCCACCTAAGGATTCTGGGAGTTCCTAGTCCTAAAAAAGTATATTTTCCAAACTTTTGTTATGTCTCGTTTTTCGGGAGGACGGGGAGCTTCAGAGAGCAAGAGACGCAACCAGCCCAGGGCAGTCCGACTCCTACCGCTTGGGCCTCCGTCCCTCACGCTCTCTCCCTCCGTTTCCAGACTCCGGCCCCTCCGTCCCTCCCTCCCTTCCTCGCGAGCGCGCGCGCTCCATTAGGGAGGTGGACGGGAAGGCAAGCAGGCGAGCGCGCTCCCGCATCTCTGTTGTGTCGAGAACCCTTTGGTGCCTGCGCTTTGGCCGGCATTCGGGCGCATGCGCTTTGGCGGCGTCCCGGGTCGGCGCTGTGAAAAGTTGGGGCAAAAGGAGTGGTGGTGCGACCGGGCGGGGAAGGGCGGCGTTCGGAGGCGGTTTCCTCTTTCGGGAGGGGGGGGGACCCGGGGCTGGCGGCGGCAGAGGCAGAGCCGAGACCGGACCGAGGCAGGCAGCGCGATGGTCATGGCGTACTTCGTGGAGAACTTCTGGGTAGGGAACCCTGTTCTTTCGGCGCTCCCTTTCCCCTCCCGGCTTCTTCCCCCACCCGCTTACCTTCGGCCGGGCTGGCTCGGGTCACGTACGAGAGAGAGAGAGAGAGAGGAGCGAAGGAAACCCGAAGGGCTGCGACGGGAGCCGAGTCGGCGACGCGCCTTCCCGGCTCCTGCGCCACCTTCGGGGCAGGGCTCGGGCCTGCCGTGGGGGCGGCAGCGGTGGAGCGGCGCCGGTTGGGAGGGCTGCCTGGCTGCCTTGGGAAGGGACCTCGCCGGGGAGCTCTCGGGAGAGGGACGGGCGGCTGCCTGTTGCTTCGGGCGAGTGGCGGACCCCGGGGCTCTGGGAGGCCGGGCTCCTCGCTAGGCCGGTGTCCCTTCATCCGCCTCAGGGCCCCCCTCCCCCGGAGCGTCCGTTGGGTCTCCCTCGTAGGTGAGGAGGAAGCCGAGCACCTGCTCCGCCGCCGGCGGCGCCCTCGTCGGCGCCCCGTCACCCTCTCCCCTCACGGGGTTGGGAGAGGTGGAAAGGCGGCTCTCCGGAGGGGCGACCGAGGAGGAGGAAGAGGAGGAGGAGGAGGGACGGGGCAAGGGAAGGTGGGCCGCCGGTGTTGACTTTTCCTGGGCTGCCCGCTCGGTGACAAACCCCGACAAACGAGAGCTTTCCTCAGTGGAAGTTTACTCTGGAATGAATCCCTGCTCCCTCCTTCCCTCCCTCAGTGCCTTTGAGGTTTCTTTCTCCTTTGGATTTTCAGGTTTCCATTTAGTTGTCGGGGCTAGTGCTGGTGGTGGGGTGCTTTTTTCTTTCTTTCTTTTTTCTTTTTTTAGTTTTGTTTTGTTTTTAAGCGTATGCATTTTATTTTATTTTTGGTACATCCATCTGTAAGCAGAGCCATAGGAGAAACAGAATGAAGTGATAACTTGTCACAACATCCCGAAATCATTACCTGAAAGGTGGCTTTTATATATACATAGAAGCCAGTTTTTATGATGATTTAGAATTAGAGTTTAAACTACTGTGATGTTCTAAGGATAAACAGACACTACACGGTTGGTGACTGTAAAAGAAAACCTGGAAGGGGTTGGGATGGGGGTGAGAAATGCATTGTGTATTGTACATTTATTCTTTGTCAGATCCTGTGCTTTTGTGTGCACTGTCCAAGAATAAAATCATATAGGACACACAGTTCCTTCTTTTCTTCTCTCTCTCTCTCTCTCTCTCTCTCTCTCTCTCTCGCTTACATTTTAAAAATCAGTATAAAAACAAAGCTAAGTAGTTATTTCTTGATGTAGAATGCTATCATTTTATGTAGCATGTACAGTACAGGTTTCTAACAGCACCATTAAAGCTTGTGTAAATTATTGTCTTCCAGTTGTTACAGAAATCTGTTTATTAGTTTATAAAACTGGTAATGCAGATTTAGTTTCAACTGATTTGATTTTCCCTAGAAATTCAAGAGTTCAAAGAAGTAGCTGCTTTAACAAGCTGTGAACTCCAGTACCCAGTCAAGGTTGTAATTTGAAGGGAAAAAACCCATTTAATCTAAGATACATTTATTCTGAGTAGGCATTTGTAGGATTGTACCTAAACTTTTATTAGTTTTAAACTCTACATGTAAATAATAGTATTTTGAACATTGCATCTCCTAAGGCATATTCCTTCTGTGGGGATGACTTGCACCTTCTGACTAATGCAGTGCTAAGTCCTGCAAAGTCCTAAGTATATTTGCTTATTTATTTAAACATGTTTACTGATAAATTACTCTTGCTGAAGTCCACTAAGTGTGCATGGGATTGCAGCCTTGGTTATTTTCAGTTGCTTTGAGTGTTAATGTAAGAACTGTGGCCAGTGCTGCTCCTGTCAAAAGTCAGCCACAATGTTGGATGTGGCTTTAAAAAAACTGGTACTGAAACACCTTGGCAAGCAATTCTTTAAATCTTTATGTAGTGCACTGTATTTCTAGAAACTGGGTTTTGTAATAAAAGTTGTAAAACAGTAAACATTTTGTTTATTCTTCATTAGTTTCTGTTTGAAGGTGAACCATAATGGTTGTTTAATCACGTTTCCCCTTCCCTTCCCTCTTTTTGTGTTTGGAAAAAGTTGTATGAATCTATAGTATATGTCACTTTTGGACAAAAATATTAAGGACACGTTGCCACTATCTAGTATCTATGTACCAACTTACTACCACTAACGGATAATGCCTGTGTCTTAGTGATTAGGGGAAGTCTCTAAGTTGGAGTTGATTTCAGGGGCAGAACATACTTTTAGTCTTAACAAACTAACATTTTTAGTTTTCAGTGAAATAGTTTATTGTGGAATTGCCATGCAGGTTGATGTGTGAAGTGACTTCAGTGAAAAAAGTTGTGTTTGAGATCTTATGACAGGGATACATGGTGAAGATATTTCTTATAAAAGAGGATTTTTATTACATTTTCTGTAAACACTATGCTAAAATAATTTCTAAAAATACATCATTCACATTAATAAGAAATGAGGTGGTAGAGATGCATATTGATTTTGAAGCCAGATGGAGTGGTCAGGAATTGAAGTACTGATTTCTACATGCTTGATATGCCATTTAATGCGTTCCAATGGGGAAAATACTTCGTCGTCCAGCGAAGATCGCCCATAGAGAACCGCCAATCAGCTGTTTTAAATCACTGTCTTGCAAAGCTTCTGTCCGGAAAAACCCATTTTGCGAAGGGAAGCCATCCATTTTGCGAAGGGAAGCCATTTTGCGGAGCCGGAAAAATGTCGTTTTGCGAACAAACGCTTCGCGAAGCAAGGACCTAATCGATGTCAAGTGAAAATCCCCCATAGGAAACATCGTCCCGCGGTTTCATCGTTCAGCGAGGTCGTCGTTTAGCGGGGCACCACTGTAAATGGTTCAGGTTTTCCAGAACATTTTGGAAGGTTATGTGGGAGGCTACATAGTGGAAGGGGGATTTGTAGAACTCATCTCTGTCTTCATTAGCAGATCTTTCTGCTGAATCAGAAGGTTTCAGTAAATTAGAGGTTTTCCGTTGGTAGTTGAGGATTGAATCTAATCAGTGCTAATTCTTGCTCACTCATTCACTCTGTTTTGTTAATGGTAGGGAGGAAAAATAGTAACTAATGTTGAAACTGAAGGTTTTCTGAGTGGGACAGTAGCCAGTCCATGATAAGAAACAGTTCTCCTCTATTTTGTCCTGATTGAAGTGCATCTGGAGTATTCCATGTGTTCAGTTCTATGTTAGTGTTATATTTTAATAAGGGCCTTATCAAAAATTAGTGTGTTATGAACTAGAATACTCAAAGTAACCCTGTGAAGCAGATTTCCATGAAGAATTGTTAAAAGAATAACTATGTTTTGCTTAGACAAAAAATTACTCTGTTTGTGCTAGGCACAATTCAGAATCCTGATTTTTACCTATAAAGCCCAAAACAATTTAGGTTCTGGTTAGAGGACTGTATCTCCTTATATGAGCCTCATTGGTTTTAAAGGTTTTTAGAAGAGGCACACGCTTGCTTGATGATGACAGAAGGCCCTTCCAGTGGCTGCCCTCAGGCTGTGGGAGCAGCCTTTCCACAGGTGACCACATTGCTCCCCCCAGCTTGGCTGTGACTGTCCTTCCACATCAGGCAAAGATCCTTCTTTTTAGGCAGACGTATTTTATTTATTTATTTATTCATTTAACTTATATGCCGCCCACTCTACCCAAAGGTCTCTGGGCGACTTTCAGTAAGTAATTAGCTGTTAAACAGATTTTTTAATTGGGAAGACTGTATTTTTAATATTTTAAATGTGTTTTTGAATTGTTTTAAATGTGTTTTATTCACTAGTTTTGATTTGTCATATGTTTCATCTTTAAATATTGTAATTTATTGCATTTTGCTTTAATATTGTGTTTAAAATGTTTTGCAAACTGTCTTGGGTCCCTTTGTTGGGAAAAAAGCAGAGTGCTGAACAAATGAATAAGTGAAGCAAACGTGGAGATGAGATAATCGCAGACAAGATGAAACAAGACTTCTTTTGCTCGTAAGGGAGAAGCAGCACTAATGGGTACAAACTGCAAGATTTCAGCTTAACATTATAAGAAGCTTTCTAGTGGTATGAACCAGGGTGGATATGATTTAAATCAAACTGATTTATATTTTTTTAAAAACAGATTTTTGATGATTTAAATAAAAATTAATTTTTAAAATTTAAACAATGATTTAAACCAAATAATTAAAAAAAATTCATTGATTGCATGAACTGATCAGTAGTGGAACAGAACTCCATAGGGAGCAGTAATTTCTTTTTCAGTGAGGTAATTAATCAAATAATGAATGACCATTTGTCAAGGATGCTGTAGTTGTAGGATTCCTGCATTGAACAGAAGGGTTGGACTAAGTTGCTAGTCACCAAGATGTCTTTGTGCTTAAAGATGCCGTGAGACAAAAACAAAGCAAAACAGTTTATTGGCTGAAAAAAAATGTGAATTCTCACATATTCATTATAAAGAATATCTTGTATATAGCAAAAAGCAATCTGTGCAGCAACAACAGTAGCAACAAAATGTTACAAAGCTAAGTCATACAGTGCTACCTCGACTTGAGAACGCCCCTACATAAAAACGATTCGAGTTAAGAATGGCTCTGTTCGCAAAAAGTTGCTTCAACTTGAAAACGGAGCCTCGACTTAAGGGGAAAAAAAAGGAACGCTCTGTTCGCAAAAAGTTGCTTCAACTTGAAAACGGAGCCTCGACTTAAGGGGAAAAAAAGGAACAAAACCTTTCCTGCCCTTTTTTTGACCTACGTTCACCTTAGGTCAAAAGAAGAAAATAATTAAAAAATCCACCCCCAAGTGATAGATACGGATTAACCGGCTTTGCATTAGTTCCTATGGGAATTAATGCTTCGACTTAAGAACAGCGGCTCAACTTAAGAACGAAAAACAGCAGATACGGATTAAATGGTTTTCTGTGCATTCCTATGGGAAATGTTGCTTTGACTTACAAACATTGCGACTTAAGAAC